GCCCGCGTCGCTACTTGCTTCATGCTTATGTTTCTGTCACTCCTCCGGTTGCATCCCTCGTTAAACGAGAAGGCCCTGCTGTTGAGGTGTGTTCGCTGGCACACAATCCAAGCCCATGCTGAAAAGGGGCCTGTGGGACTTTCGGGCTTTGTGCTCGAGTGCATCGCAAACGAGATCAAAACAGTTATGCTTCATGCTTTTCCGTCCCGTGCGTCCGCGCCGTCTGGTCCGTGTCGTCCTCGCGTCCTGCATGCTCTTCCCCCTTGCTCACGCTTCACCCGTTCACTCTTCTCTCTTTCCTTTCGCTCACTTGCTCTCATTCCCTCTGTTTCTGGAATTGCTGCCAACCCTTTCACTAAAATATGCATGTGGGGTTATCCGGTCCATTAATTAGTTTCACGTCTTTTTGATTTAGATCTAAGTCTATCGGTCGCGCACAGAGATGTAGCACGCTTGCGGGCATCTCTCGCTTGGCACCTCTCGTCACAGTTTGAGAACGTAATCAGCAATCAGCTTGCTGCAAGTAGCAGTCACGGTAGACTTGGCAGATGGTGGACTTTGGTTTATCCAAGCGCTTCACCCCGGGTGAATTTGCCACCACGAAGGCGCCTGGGATGTGATCCGTCAAATATTGTCTGGGTCGGTGCTGTTTTCAGGCTGGAGCTCCTTACTACGTGGCGCCGGAGGCTACAGACCGAAGGGCTTTAGCTCCGAGCTGCCATTCGAGTAGCTTTGATAGGAATGGAAAGGGATGACCCGAGGATGCTTGTTCAGTTCACACGTTCCCTCACGAGGCAGGTGTTGCACGCAAAGCAAGTGGCCAGGAATGTCATGGAAACTGGTTGACGGGGGGTGGTGGGCACGCTGAGATGCACAGCAGCCGCAACATGGCCATCCTGGGCCAAGCAGAAGGATCATGAGGTATGTTGGAGGCGGTGGCAGCTCAAAGATACTTGCGCGACACACAGCACGGGACAGACGAATCCTCGCGGTTCGGAAGCTGCTGCCTATAGCGTGCTGATCAGTAGGTGGTGCTCGCTGGGATGTCGCTCAGTGGCGAGTAGGCCCTGTGCGGCCCAAGACTGTAGCCGCTACTGTAGCCACTGGACAAGTCTGTGCCACAAACACTAGCAAGAGAGGCCTTTTCAGGAAAGACTACGCCATTGGCTCTAGAAGATGGGAGGGGACCATTGTGGGACGTCGCACAGTCGCAGCAAGACTTGAAAGAAGGATTGCAAGTCGGAGGGATTGAAACGAAGGCTTTCCTGCGGGAGAGGGCTAAATCCAGTTGGACCAGGCTTGCAAGATACTGCTCGTGGGCTCCAAGATGTTCCTTCAAAAGAGTCCGGATTACGCAGACAGCAAGACAAGCGCATTCTTGCCGTGCCTGTCTCACCAGCCACTGCCAGGTTCTTGCAGGTCATTACAACGAGCTGTGTGACGTGTGGAGCATCGGGGTCATCATGTGTGCTGTCTGCTTTAGCTGCCTAGAGGACTTAATTATGGTGCCAATTCGCAGGGAATCCCCAGTGTCGATGCAAATGCAGATGGCTAGTTACCGGTACTGCTAGCTGCATATGGCTGCAGCCTCGATTGTCGTCGGCACGGTTTTAAGGCGCCTTCCCAGGCCGCCCGGAAGCAAGCATGCTTCCTCCAGGTACATCCTGCTGAGTGGATCTCCGCCATTTACGGGAAATGACACAATGGCCGTCCTAGAGTCGGTCAAGAGATCCGACTTGTCTTTCGACAAGAAGGCGTGCATGCACTAATCTGCACGACTCCGTCCATGTAATACAGACTCACCTAGTCAAAGTATTCGAAGCTGATTTTTTCGGAGGAGTGGAAGCTCATTTCCAAGGAGGCAAAAGACATGTTGAAGGCCATGCTACAGACCGGTCTTCACAGCTGAAACTCAGAGCTCGCTATGAGGTCCTTCTCACCAGGGACCCCTCTCAGCGGGCAAGCGCCGAAGCTGCTCTGAAAGACGAGTGGATGACCAAACAAATCGACACGCACCTCGGCTGAATCGTCAAGCCGGCTTATGCTTCATCCTGACAACTGCAGCTGTGCGCTTACAGCGACTTGAGACCATTTGAGACCACCTTTGCCCAAGGACTCCGGCCGACATGACGCATGCCTCGCAGGCGAGGTTTTTCCTGAAAGTGGCTGTGCCGCATGTGGGGTGCCATGCTAATTTCTTGCAGGTCGTCGTGCAGAACCTGAAGAGCTTTGCGGTGATGAACAAGTTGAAGAAGGCCATCGGAGGGAGAGTGCGGGTTCGTAGTCACTTGTCATCTCAAGCGCGCTAACCGGCAGGCAGCATTGAATATCATTGCAACTCAGCTCACAGACGACGCAATCAGGGAGTTGAAGGTGGGTGGGTTTTTACAGAGACTGGGTGCTCTCCTCGCTACTGAGTTACTGTTGCAAGCAGGAGCTTTTCATTGCCATGGACGACAACAACGACGGCACGCTGAGTATTAGCGAGCTAAAAGACGGCCTGGTCAAGGCCCGGCGAGGCATCTGAGCACAGGTGGCTGGCTGTTGTGGGGTGACAGGCTGGGGTGGCCGTTCCACCCGACCTCTATGCTATGATGGATCGGTCCGGGGCCCCAACTTTCAGAGTTTTTCTGGAGGCAGAACCATGCAGAACCCAATTTCGTCTGAGCCGGCTCAGAGGATTGACACGGATGGCAGTGGGGTCATCGACTACACGGAATTCATGGCAGCCACGCTGGACAAGCGCCAGTTCGTGGCTGAGGAGTCGAGCGAAGCAGAGCGGGGGCAGGGCGGCAGAGAATCGATCTTGCGCATTCTGTTGGATAGGAAGCTTGTTGGAGGGCCTTCAAAACCTTCGATCAAGATGGCAGTGGTCACATTGACAAGGAGGACTGAGCGATCATATGTTGAGGCCATGCTGCATTTCAGAATGTCATCTGCGCAGGAGCTGATGAAGCTATTGGGGGGCGACAATCAAGTCTCGGACGTGATGCAAATAAAGTGCCCCAGATGCAGACGGCTAATGAGTGTCGACCCCCTGCAAGTGTACGTGGTGGAAGACCAGGTACACGAAGCAGGAAGTTGATGCCATCATGAAGGAAGTTGACCTGAACGGAGATGGCCGGAGCCTTTGTTTGTGGTCTGGAGCTTGTCGCTGCATAGAATCGCAGAGGCAAGATCGATTTCGATGAGTTCCTGACGATGATGCGGAGAATGCCCGCTGATGACAAGAAGAAATCGGGACCCTCAATTGGCATTGGCGTGAAGCGCCCGCGAACGAGGTGATAAACATGGACATATTCCCAGATGCTGTGCCAGCGTGCTGGGAGCAACCGCAAGGCATCATGAGTCATCCGTAACCAAAGAACTTGCTGCAGGATTAGGTGGGGAGAAAAACTCGCCTTGCAGACCGTTTTAACATTCGTCTCACCTGGCGCCAATGAAGTGCCCGAAAGGTCGATGCGCTCTCGTGGAGAAAGACTGCCCTATCTTTTGTCGTGTTCTGCAATGCTCGATTTTGATCGACATGGAAGACCTCCATGAGCTTGGCAAGCTCCGGGCCTGTTGCTGCGATCGAGCATGCTCCTGTGTTCCTGGCTGGAAATCCGTAGTGCTGCCATGAGTATTATGCTGAGGCAGTTTTTCATCGCATGTTTTTGTCAGATGCTGGACCATGATGTTGGCTGTGTGTTGAGCTTGGATGCATCCATTTTTCGCAAGCTTCTCGCGGCTGCATGTGTACAATATATGTCATTCCTTGCAGTATCCGCATACTGTGCTATCTACGAAATTCTGGACATTCAGCATTGTCAAGAGTCTTCTGACTTTGTTCGCCTGATAGATACACATGTGCTTTCATGTGGCAAGGCAAAGGCCGGAAATTTGCATGCAGTTTACTTGGCAGCGATCTTCGACTGCGCATTATTTTTGCTGTTTTTATGTGTCAGGCTGTGGTGATGCTTGGAGCTGGAACCAGGGAGGAGCTTGGAATGCGAATGCCCCAAACCCCTCGTGGGGGTGGGGCGGTGGCGGGGCGGGGGTCTGGGATGCATCCTGGCAAACGCAGAGCCAAGGAGGAGGTTCGTGGCTTACCTTTCTGAGATATGCCAATGCTGGATGAAGGGTTCCAATGATGTGTTATCTTTTCAAGGCACGTCCTTTGCAGCTCCATGCGGCGTGACCGTGCCGCCACCAAGAGCAGCAGCGCCGAGCATGGGCATCCCGGCTGCGTCGAAATCGTCAGTGATTTAGTGATTCCATGCGCAGTCTGACAACACTATGTGCCGGATTGCTTTTCAGCGGCTGTGGCAATGGTAGCTGACTCTGCGAGGTGCTGTCGCACCAGCTTTTATGTCCCAAAGCTTGCCATCCACGGTCCCGGCTCGTCCACCTGCATCGGTGGTTCACCCAGCTGTTGTCACGCTGCTGTGCTGGACAGCATATGCGGCATATGCGCAGCTTGGGCGAGCAAAGCTGTGCATGCTGCTCTGCTGTGCCAGGCTATGAACGGTGCGTCAGTTCCCGCTGCGGGAGCAACTTGCGCACACACACACACACACACGCATGGTGCTCACACCTCTTGTCCCTCTTGTGAAGATCTGCATAAGCTGCACCAGATGTGTCATGATTCGTGTTACATTAGTAGCAACACTTGCTATATCGTTGCGCGTCGTTGTGACTAGCATTGTTTCGACTATTATCATTCGAAGTAGCAACGATGATTTTAATGACAATATGTATATACATGTACGCCATGCGAGAAATATATATATATATATATATATATACACACAGACATACATACATA